CAGGGGTTGTGTCCACCATGGTCAGCACGTAGAGCTTGCCTTGGTGGGTTTGGGGAGTGTGCTGGGATCAATCTGCCAGGCCTGCCCACATCTCTAGTTCAGCCATCATCCCCCACCCCACAGGGGCTTTACCCTCTTGGCCTCTTTGATGGCAGCACATGTTTCCCAGGTCTGGAGAACCTGGCAGTTGGTGTCCATGGTTAAATGCAGCCCTGGATCCCAAGCCCAGCTGGATGTTGCACCTCTTCCCTGAGGCCCTGAGGTGTCCTGGGCCCAGCGAGCCAGGAATAATTCCCCCTTGTGTTGCCAGTCCAGCTCTACCTGAGACACTTTCATCTGGTCAGTCCCATCTCCCTGTCCATTGTTGGATGTCACTCAGGAGCCCAACTCTTGGCTCCCTGTGCATCTCCAGGATGGACTTTCACAGCCAACCTCTCCACCCGGGTGGCAGGAGGGCCTGCCCTGATAAGGCCTAAAATGCCATCAGACAATGCCAACAGTGCCAGCTCTCATGCAAGCTGTCTGTGAGATCTGTCAGTTACCGGTGGCACCCTGGAAATGGTTTTGGTGTTGAATGATGCTCAAACCAGCCTGGTTCACCCAACTCCAAACACACATCCTGCTTTTGGAAGTTGGATGGGACAGAGAAGCTGCTCACTGGCCTGTCCATTTGTGAGGAGCAGTCAATCCCTTCCTACTAGAGAAGTCCAGTCCCCTTTCATTCAGGCAGGTTCTTCTAACACAGCTCTTCTTGGGGTAGATGTGTGGAGATTCCTGCCTTGGGTGGGGACACCCTCCAAGGACACTCCTCAAGGTTGAGAAAAGACATCTCCCGATGACCTTTGGTCTGGCTCAGTTACATCAGATCTCTGCATAATAATTATTTCTTTTGGTTAGTTTTAATAGAATAATATAGTGCACTATCCTATTATATACTGTACTACTAGTAGTTTTAACCTTCATATAGTGTAGTAAATAATTCTGATTAAGGTCTTTTGTCTGATCATTTGTAAGAATAAAGGATTCATTTTATATAAATATTCTCATGTGGCTAATTATTAAAACCTGTGGGACAAAAGTGGCTCAATCCCACTTCTATAATTCCATAAATTTAATTTGTTGACAAAATCTGAGGCAAAGGTTGGATCCTTTATTCCTTGAGGCTCTGAAGTGGGATAAGGGCTCCTTAATTCCATGAGGTTGCACTCTCAGAGCAGCAGTGTCTCTAGGGCAGCAGGCTCTCTTCTTCCATGTAGCAGCTGTAGCTGGATCTCTGCCAGTACACACAAGGGGGGTCTCCAAGCCTCTCTCGGCCCTTCGACTTCAAGCGAGGGTCTTTCTCTTCCATGGGCTGCGTAGCAGGGACAAGGCTCACCTCACCACGTCATATCATGGGGTGTAAGACATCCCATGAAGGTCCCTTCCTCAGGGGATTCACCCCTGAGTCAGAACATCTCGGGCAGCTTTCAGTTGAAGGCCTTTGCCTCAAGAGTTCTATCAGAGCTCCTGTGCTCTGTCTCAGGCTGTTGCTTGGCAGCAGCAGTGAGGGCTGAAGCCCTCCTCTGGAGTCCGGCCGTCCCGGTCCAGTTCCGGGAAGCCCTGAGCTTCTCAGCTCCTCTCTTTTTGGTGCCATAGCACTCTAAGACTCTCTCTAAGTAAGAGTCCATCATCCTCCTCCTCTCTAGGAGGTCTCAGAGGGGTTTGGGGACTTCGTTTCAGTTCTTACCCAAACTCTGTCTCTGTAGGGCTTAGTTCTGCTCTCTCTCTCTCCATCAGAGATCTCTGTGTCTTCCTTGGCTGCATGCTGTCTCTGCTGCTTCTCTCTTATCTCTTGGCTCTCTGCCACTCTCCTCCATACGCTGCTGCTTCTGCCGTTGCTTCTGCTGTCGATTACAGTGGAGGAAAAAAACTCCCAGCTTCTCAGCTACAGATACTTAGCCCAGTCTAACACTGTTCCAAGTCCCTGTAGCCCCCCAGCCAGGGCTGGGGGGGCCCAGCCCCCAGTGAGGCTCTTGCCCCTTCTCCTTGTGGCTTTCACAACATGGCCACTTTTTCTCCAACCACAACTACAACTACCCCTCTTTTCCGGTCTGGGTGATATGTTTATATTTTGCAGAAGCGCTCATTGGCTCAACCCCAAGAGTAACCACCCCCTGTGGGTTTACCATTTTATAACTTCAAGGGGAAAACTGTTTTTTCCCCCACCACAGCTTTGCATTTGCTTCACTCTTTTGTGCTTCCAACACACACACCCTCCAGTGTGGGCAGAGTCTGGCTCCCCAAAGAACACAAGACCTGACTATTTGTGGCTCCCACTGCAGTGGCTGCAACTTGGGCCACAGTCTGTGCCAGGAGCAGAGAGGTCCCTCCCCACAGAAACATCTTGGCAATGGAGTTCCTAAGAAAATGGGACAGGCTGTGGGGATCACAGCCAGGTATGTCTTGACCAGCCTCCTGTTTAACATGACCAACTTTTTCATCTTCTTTTCTCTCTGTTTTCTCATACTTGTTCCTCCAGAGACCACTGGGATCCTACCTTTGCTTTGGTTTTTTGCTAGACAAGTCTTGCCCAGTCCCCAAATCCCCTTTCTGGCTGCCCATCATGAGTCTCAGAGCCCAAGGCCGAATCCCCCATCCTCAGCTGCAAGGTCACCCTGAGAGGTTCTGCCATTGACCCACTTGGTTAAAGTTTCATACAGATACCTTGGAACTTCCTTGGAACTAATTTGTTGCCTTTTGGGCTTAGAATGGCTTCTTCAAAAACATGGCAATTCATATCCTCAACACAGAAATTCTTTGGAGAAGGAGTTTGGGACTTTAGACTCAAAGAATCACAGAATGGTTTGTTTTGGAAGGGATATAAAAGCCCATGTGGTCCAAACTCCTGGACATGGACAGTGACATCTTCACTAATTGAGGTTGCACAGAGTTCCTGACCTTGGACAAATCCAGGGAGGGGACATCCTCTTGTCTGGGAACCTGTTGCAGTTCTTGCCAGCTCCACTGGTAAATATTTCTTCATTTTATCCAATATGAAGCTCTCCTATTTCAGTTTAAAATCATTGCCCTGTATTCTGCTAATAGGCCTTGATAAAACATATGACTGTGACTGTCTTAGACTATGAGCACAGTGTTTTCATCTGCAAACACCTTGGAGAGTGCTCAAAAATGACCCTCCAAAAAGTTTGTCCCCATTTTTCTTAGAAGCTTCTGTGGTGGTGCATCCTCCCCCCATTCTCCTCAGGCCTGGTCGATGATCTCAGGAGCTCCTGACAAGCCTTGACCAAACCAGCTGAGCAATGAAGAGCCCCCGGACTGCACCAGGAGTGTGGGGAAGTGTCCCTGGACTGGACCAGGTGCTCCTGGATGATACAGATGGGAACAATCCCGGGGTGGAACAGCTGGGGATACAAGATAATCAGTCATCCCATGAAAGCCTTAGAATATTCCCTGCCTGAATCTCAGCCCAAATGGAACAGTGTGGATACAATTCCCAAATAGTTTGGAAACTCCAGTCATTCCTGACACCAGGATGGAAATTCAGCAGATAACTAAAGCCAGTCCCCTTGTGAGCCCACACCCAGCGGGGCTGAGGGAGGCCCTGGCAGCTCCCCAGCACCTCCCTCTCAGTGGGACACCTCTGGCAGCCTCTCCCAGCTCGGGAACCCTCCAGTTTGCAACACTCCAAAGAGCGGCGCTGATGCCCAGGACAATTCTGATCCCCCTCCACAAACACTCCTCCAGCTGGGACCCTTGTCTGGTGGGAAACACAAAGGGATTGGTGGGAGTGTTTCCCTGTTGACAGGAGAATTTGGGAGAGGGACCTTTCCACACCCAGCTATTGATGTGTCCACACTTCTCTGCCTGGGTGTGGGTGTGAATTGACTGTGGTGGGAATGTTGTTGTTGTGAATCTCTAATTCAGTCACTGTTAAAATTTTAGCAAATGCTATTGAATCCCTTGATAACAGTTAAACAGGTCAATAATTAAATACTACTAATTACTTTTGCCCCCTTATCTTTGGGTTCAAATTTTTTGCATCCTGACTCTCTTGCATCCCAAGGCTCTGTGTAAATCATTGTCTTTCATCAAAAAATATATTTTTCGTGATGTCCACTTTAAAATCTTCCTCCTTAGCTAAACTACAAAACAACTCTAATTAGTTGTCGATGTCTTGAAGACATGAAGACAATTAAAGAAAGAGAAAGAAATTGTTTTTCAGTGTTTTAATGAGCCCCGCGGTGTGTTTACAGATGAGTCCACCATCCTCACGTACTGAGAGAAAATGGAAGCAGCTGCTGAAGAAGTCAGAAGCCAAACTGCAAGTGCCTTGAAGCATTGCTGGGCCCCACTGAGGGCAGGCACTGCCAAAGCCTCCCCAGGGACTCCTTGGAGCAGCTCCTTGGAGGCCAGGAGTGCAGGCAGACAAAGGCTCTGGGCAGGCCCCTGCAATGCTGAGCAAAGCCTGCCTTGGTTTTGTGGAGCACAAAGGCCAAGGGCTGAGCCCCAGGCCCTGGCCCAGCAGATCCTGTCCCTCCCGGCTGGCTCAGGGCTGTTTGGGGGCACTGGGATGGGAGGGGGAGGAACAACAAAGGGCCAAAACTGGGCAACCCCTGCCAGGCTGCTGAGGGAGGGGCGAGGCAGAACCCAAGTGCAGAACCTGCCAGGAAAGTTGCTTGTGGTGGCCTGAGTGGCAGAGGCAGCTGCCAGAGGCAAGGGGACAAAGGCCTGGGTGCCTTTGGGCCTTGCAGCCCTGCCAGAGCCCTTGGCCATCTCTCCTGCAGGCTGTCCTGCCCTGGCCCTGCTGCTGCTCTGGCCTTGCAGGCTGCACACACCCCTCCTGCTTTCCCACCCCCTCCCAGCAGCATTTCTAGACCCTCCCTGATGGCTCTGCACCAGCTCTGGCTGTTCCCTGGAACACAAAACCATGGGGCGATCCCCTCTGGGGTGACCTTTTGCAGCACAAGGGTCCCCGTTGAGTGACATTCCTTTTTCCTTACCTTCAGTCCCAGCCTTCCATGCTGCTCTTTGTGGAGATTTCATTCTATTTCCAATACAGAGAAAAGTTCCATCCTGTCAGATCTCCTCTAGATCCTCTCCAGTTCTTCCTCATTCCTCCTGTTATAGGTAAATAAACCAAATCAAAATTTAGCAGCAAAATTTATTGTGAGATTTATATAAAGTGCAGATAAGCAAATCAGCATGCTGGGTGGCCTGGAGAGACCCCTGCTCCCCACCGGCCCACAAGCCCAATAAAAACAAACAGCAACTTTTATACTTTTCCAACTCCCCCTCCCATAGTCACTTGTTAGCTCTTGATTGGGCTTGGGTTCACGGGCTTCGTTCTGGTTGGTTCTGTTGTAGGCCCATTTTGGTTGCCAGGGACTTTCCATCAGTACTTTCCATTCAATAGCTTTAATTAGCCCAATGTCCTTGGAGCTGACTATGGGAAGGTGTCCAGATGGTCCAGATATTCTCCTTGGCTCTTCTTTATCATGTCCATCCTTGACCCTCTGATCCTTGTTCTTTTCTTCTTTTCTAATGAGTAACTTAGACAATATTTTTAGAATAACAGGATATGGTATACGTGCTCAGTAAAGCAAGATACTCTGCCAACTTGGGAACTGCCAGTTGCAGGACAGTCAACTTATAATAATAATACAGCAGTTAACTATTCCGCAGCTTACAATTCCCTAGTCCCAACCAAGCATTAGCTATAATATACAGAAAATACAATATATATATTTTGACGAGTAAATTTTACTATTGCTTACTTATTACACTCCATAATGGGGAACCTCACAGACAGACAGACCAGTCCAGATGTGGTGACACCAGAGCTGAGTCCAGGGGGGTGACAACTCCCTTATCTGGGTGGCCACGCTCGCCCTAAGGCAGCCCCATGTGCAGTTGGCCTTAAATCAAGGGGCCATTCTGATTCTTTGAAACATCACGGAATCAAGTGGCCCTGTGACACTGCAGGGCCTCATGGAACCAAAGGAATGCAGGGACACTGTGGAATCTTGTGGAACAAAGGGTCACTGTGACATGCGGGGTCTCTTTGGAACAAATGGAACCCTGAGACATCTCAGAACCTCCTGGACCCAAGGGCCCACTGTTCCTCCCCAGAACTCCATGGAATCAAGCAGAGCCGCTGCCTCCCCCCCGCCGCCGCACGGACCGGAGTCACCGGCTCTGCCCCGCTTGGACACCTCTGGAGTCAGCGTGTTCTTGGGCAGCACAACTGATCTCAGACCAGAGAGTTTCCCAGATTTTGCTTTGCCACCTCTTTCCACTGGTTTAATTTTTGTTCTTTGTTCATTCAGGGGGAAAAGGGGGAAGGGAGGCTCGTGTTGATCCCTGTTTTTATCTTTTTAGAAAAGGGAGTTGGGGCAGGGGGGGAGAGAGGAGGCAATTTCTCTCTCTGCTGATGCTTTGAACTGTTCTGTTGGTATTGCTGTTTTTGTTGCTATATTTCTTGTCAGTGAACTGTTATTTTTTCACTTATACCTCCGTGTAGTTTGTCTCCCTGTATTGGTGGGGAATAAAAGCGGAGTGAGTTCATTTTATTGGATTTCCTGCCCCAAAATGTGTCTTTAAACCAGGACAGGTTGCTCAAGGGCTCCTGAAATTTGGTATCATCCACAAAGGACTTGAAAATACATTTTGTCCCATTGTACAGAGAGATAATAAAGATGTTCTATAGTGGTGGTCAAGGGCTGCTCACTGAGGGATTTCACCAGGAAGTTGCTGCCGAGGACTTTGTACCATGGATTTTATTTGACACTCTTCATTCAGCCAACTTCCCACCCACCACATCTTCCACTTCTTCAGTCCATCTCTCACAAGTCTGGCTCTAAGGAGACCACAGGAGACCATGTCAAGGGCCTTGATAAAGTCTGGGCACAAAACATCCCCTTCTATTCCTGTAAGGGGTACTTTTGAATTAGATGATCAATGGAGCATAGAGGCGTGAGAAAGGAATCATATTAGGATGTGAAACCAGCTAGAGTATGGTACAATGTAACTTCACGGCACAAGTGAATTGTAAGGTTCATTGTGCTTTTTAGCAAGTCAGCTGGTGGGGAACTCTATATAATGAGACCGTGTTAGCAAACTGCACATATCCAGGAACTCAACAACCTCTTTGGCGATTGGAAATGGGGATGACCCTGGTTACGAAAAAGCACTGATAAGCTTGTCAGTAGTTGAATGTATAATAACATGCATATTGTGTATGATCCCCTGTATACTAACATGTGTACGTCGAATGATAAACACCAAGCTAAATGCATTACAATCTCGAGTAGTTCGTTATCACCCTCTTGCTACCATTGATCACGCGGTGGTATGTAAGGGGGGTACTTTTGAATTAGATGATCAATGGAGCATAGAGGCGTGAGAACGAAATCATATTAGGATGTGAAACCAGCTAGAGTATGGTACAATGTAACTTATGGCAGAAGCTAATTGTAAGGTCCATTGTGCTTTTTAGCAAGTCAGCTTGATATCCCCTATTATCAGAGCTGAGTTTTTCCTTGGTTTTGCTACATATTGCAAGATAGATACATCTACCCTTGAAACACAATGGTAGAGGTCATACATAGGGGTGAGAAAGATGATGATGGGAGGAAGATTATGTGGGCAGGGGTCGCTGGCCCCTTGCCCTACAAGTGGGGCATGCGCAGACTGTTGCCATGAGGTGATGATCAGGGGGGGTTTGGCTGCCACTCAGGCATCACCTTATACTGGGTACTGGCCCTACGTGGTGTAATGTGGAACTGATAAAATGGGGTGTCAGAGCTGCTGAGCTGAGCGATCCTCATCCTACCACCGAGCCTGTGTTGCTCCGCGGGGACGCCCGCTAAGCACGGGCACCGACCAGCTGCTGCAGATCCTGACAGCCCTGGCCTGTCTGTGTGGGTAAGCACAGGTTATTGACAGGAAGCAACTGAGAGAACAAACTTTTTAATATCCTTTTTTTGTATCCCTTTAATTCCCCTTTTATGTTTATAGTATTTTTCCTTTAGTTTCCCTTTTTACTAACCAATATCGTGTTAATAGTTATCCATAATATTGTGTTAAGATCCTTTTTTGGTATCCCTTTTCACTAGTTAATACTGTATTAAATGCTGTTCGTAGTATTTGTTTTAATGCCACCGGATAAGGTAGTTATTTTGTATCCTTTTTTTAGTTTTTAATTCCTCTTGCTAATTTTATTACTATTATTATTATTCTCACTGTAATAAAAGATGTTTTGTGTGTTTGAATATTTCTGTCACTTGTCTTTATTCCGGACGTATCCAAACGAACTGTTACAAACATAAAGGGAGATTAATTGGGGAGGGGGAAGGAAAAAGCAGAGGCCGCATGCAGAAACAAAGAAAACCCCTGGGAGGCAAGAATTCAGTCCATGGAGAGGTTTCTTTGGAAGACAAATGTATTAATAAAGAGCATCCATGTCTCTCCCCCTCCTCCCTGCCCTTTCTCCCTTCCTTTCTCTCAGTTATTGCTGATCATGCCATCCCATGGAATGGAATATCCCTTGGGTCAGTCCAGCCCAGCTGTCCCAGCCATGTCCCCTGTGAAACACTTGCCCAGCCCAGCCCATGGGTGGGGGTGGTTGCAGAGACGCTTCCTGTGGGGCCAGCACTGCCCAGGGACAGCCAAAGCCTTGGGCTGGGACCAACAGCGCTGCAGCCACGAGCACCAACCCAGCAGGACAGGGGCTGCTCTGGGCAAGGGGAACTGCAGCCCAGCCACAGCCAGGGCAGGGCTGCTCAGGGGGCTCTGCCAGCCTCTGCTATTCTACAGTTCAAGGAATCTTTCCTTGGAGAGCTCTTTGAAGGGAGAATAGAGAGAGAGGCAGAAGTAGAGCTATCAAATGCACCAGTGCAAACACAGCAGTTCCTGTGAGGAACATCTCCCTATGGAAATCCTGGGAATCTACTGGACAAATTTGAGGAAACAAGTTTATGTGGGTGTGGTCCCATCACTGACTGGGCCACAAGGAGGGGGATGGTTGGGTACAGCATCAAGGGGTCAGTTGTGCCTCAGGAACTCATCACCCAGTAGGAAGCTGGTGGTTGTGAAGGGGCTGTGAGGTCACTTGTGCCCCTGGAGGGGACAGGCCAAGAGCAGGAAGGTGGCTGGGGAAGGGCCTGTGAGGTCCCTTCTGTCAGCAGGAGCTGATGGCTCAGCCCGTGACTCAGGGCTGGGCCAGGGGCTCTCCAGCTGCCCCTGCCCTGGCCTGTGACAGCCCAGCACAAGGCCCCTGGCTGGCACAGGCCCTGGGAGATCCCCTCTGCCCGAGGGCCTGGGCTCCCTCCAGCAACGGGGCTTCTCTTTGGGCTGCCCCGTCCCTCGTGCTGAGCGCAGGATGGGACAGCAGCAGGCACAGCTGGGCCCTGTCTGTGCCCGCAGCTGAAAGGAGCAGCCTGGGCACAGCACGGGGAGGCTGCTGCTGGCAGGGCACAGCAAAGGGCCCGGGAAGGCTGGGCACTGGCACCCCCTTGTCCTTCCCTCAGTGTCAACATCTCAGTTGCCTGCACAGAGCCTTTGCCTCCCTGCACTCACGGCCCCCAAGGATCTGCTGGAGAGTCCCTGGGGAGGCTTTGTCAGGAATGGCCCTTGGGGGGCTCCTGAAGGCTTCAAGGGGCTGCAGGGTTTTCAAAGTCCTTTGGGTTTTGCTTTGGAATCTCTGAGAAGTTTGTGCAATCCTGACCTCCAACTCTGCTCTAATGAGTCCCTGAAGAGTCTTGGTCAGGAAGGGCCCTCAATGGGGCTCGTTAATGCTTGAAGGGACTAAAGGTTTATTCAGGTCCTTTGCCTTTCCTTTTGACTCTGAGTCTAGGAGAGGTTTGTTCAATCATGTTCTCCAATTATCTGCTTTAATTAGTCCCTTGAGAGGCTTTGCCAGTAGGTACTCCAGGTTTTTTAAGGAGCTTTGGTACTTCCTTTGGAAACTGAGCCTTTGAGAGCTTTGTGCAATCATGGCCTCCAATTCTCTCTTCCAGCGAGTCCATGAGGAGCCTGTATTGGGAATGCCCCTCAGTGGGACCCATTAATGCTTTGAGATATTTTGGGTTCTCCTTCTGACTCTGACTAATGGAAAGGTTTGTGCAATCTCCCCTCAGTACCTGAGGTTCAAGGACTCAGCACCAAAAGCCCCACGGGGCTCATTCAGACAAAGCAAGTCCTAACAAACCAGGGCTCTTCCTGTAATTTTCCTCTCATCTAGACAGTACATTAGGAATGTTGTCTCATGGAATCAGGGGACCATTGTGACACTGCAGGGCCCCAGGGAACTGTTTTGCCCACGACGAGGGTCAGCCCAAGAGACACCGACACCAACTTTGGAGAACAAGTGTGTAATTTTACTGCAGTGCAAAGCAGCAAAGAATGACAAAAGGCTGAGCTCAGTACTGCACCTCATCGTTCCTACCAAGAGTGCCTGGAGTGAGTAGAAAAGCTCCCTGCCCAGTTGCCCTCATCTGTTCCCCTCAGCCAGGCCCGCAGGGCAGCGGGGGAGCCCCGGTCGCAGCCAAGGGTTGGAGAACCCCTCCCGGGCACGGGAAATCCCACCCAGGGCGTCCA